CTTATGTGGCTTTGAAGTTAGGCACTAAACAGGGGATTTTACACTGAAACCCTAATTTAGTAACTTCCGACATCCTTGATTCTTCTTTGCTTAATCTTGGAACAACACCACACATGTATCAACATACCCATCCATGAATCCCATGACCTCAAGGTAGGCTCTGATGCTCTCCAATTACTCAATTGAACTAGGGTTGATCTAGATGAAACCCTAGTTGACTGCACTTCAAATGTGGCTCTCATACTTGAATCAATGACTTGTCTCAGCTTCAATATGGCCCTCTAGGCATCCCATGAGATCCATACACACCTCAAATTCACAATCCGTGTTTCTCATCCCACTGATGATTCTCAATATTCCTTAAGATAGGAGCAAAACCCACATGTAGACACTCAAACTTCTCAAGACTTCAAATCACTTCTTGATGGCCTGGATGACTTCTCATAGTTGGGTAAGACCTCTTGCTAGGCTCTTCTCTTGATAGACACCTTGATCCCTTGTTGGAGGCATGTTATGCTATGATATGCCAATGATTGAACTATGTACATGATGTAACTATGCAAATGAAATGCAATGAAACATAAATCAGGCAAGAAAAGGTTGAGCAAATTTTGGGGTACAACACCAGGTACCATAACTGGAGTCTTGACTTCGCTGCTAAGGATTTCTGCAACATAAATTATCTTATCCTTAGGTACCCAGATTTTCTTGGGTCCTTTTTGGTTAGTTTCCTTAAAGCTTTTTCTGAACTTCTGTCTTTCAACATAAGACTTGTTCTGATTAGCTTTAGATTTATTAAACACAGGTTTGTTCTGATTAGAACTTGTGTGTTTAATATCATTTAAGTGACCAAATGTAAACTGAGAATATAAAGGAGGATACTTGATATCCAGTTTATCTACAGATTTTGGATTTGAACCCTCATAAGAAAAAGATTTATATCCAACACCTTTTCTATAGTTTATGCTAATACCATAGATCATTGAAGCCATCTTGCTTCTATCTAGGCTTTTAGTTAGAAACTTCCTGAAGCTATATTCATACTCTTGTAAAATATTTTTAGAGCATGGTTCATACTTTGGATCAGAGTTTAGTTAAGCAGATTCTAAATTATTATTCAATTGAAGATTTTCAGCTTTTAGCTCAGCTATTTCTGATTCAAACTTGTTACTCTCAAATTCAATATGCTTTAGAAGCTTTTTGTATTTGAGTTTAACTTTGTTATAGTTTTCAAGAATATCAGATAGACTTTCAACAAGTTCTTGTCTAGAATGTTCAGCAAATACCTCATCAGAATCAAATTTTGATTCTGATCCAGATGATTCAGCACTGTCTTCTATGTCAGCCATGAAACCTACATTAGCACATTCTTCTTCTGACTCTGATGACGAATCAGATGCATCTGATTCATCCCAGGTAGCCATCAGAACTTTGTTTTTGTGATCTGACTTTCTCGTTGGCTTTTCCTTCTGAAGCTTTGGACATTCACTCTTGTAGTGCCCAGGTTCTTTGCATTCATAACAAATAACCTCTCTTTTTCCAAATCGTCTGTGTCCAGAGGATTCTCCAGATCTTCTGTATCCAGAGGGTTCTCCAGATCTTCTGTGTCCAGAAGATTCTTTGTGTTGATCTGGTTTCCTGAAGTTCTTGAACTTTCTTTGCTTATTCTTCCAGAGTTTTTTAATTCTTCTGGACAACAAGGGTAGTTCATCTTCATCTTCAGAAGAAGACTCTTCAGAGCTTTCTTCTATTACCTGCAATGCTTTAACAAATTTATTAGATTTTAAAGCAATTGACTTACCTTTCTTTAGAGGCTCATCTTCCTCTAGTTCAATCTCATGACTCCTCAGAGAACTGATTAGTTCCTCCAGCGTAATCTTGTTCAGATCCTTTGCCAGCTTCAGAGCAGTGCCATGGGTCTCCATCTGATTCAAAAGCTTCTAATTATTTTCTTGACATGATCTGCTGTAGAGTAACCCTTATCCAGAACCTTTAAGCCAGCAGTGAGAATCTGGAATCTGGAAAACATAGCTTCAATAGATTCAGATTCTTCCATTTTGAAAGCTTCATACTTCTGGATCAGCGCCAGAGCCTTAGTTTCTTTAACTTGAAAGTTCCCTTCATGAGTCATCTTTAGGGATTCAAATATATCAAAGGCAGTTTCTCTGTTTGTTATTTTCTCATACTCAGTATGAGATATAACATTTAGCAAGATAGTTCTAGCCTTGTGGTGATTTCTGAATTCCTTCTTTTGCGCCTCAGTCATTGATTTTCTGTCAATTTTCTTGCCATTCCCATCAGTGGGATGAACATATCCATCAATAACTAAGTCCCAAAGATCAGCATCAAATCCTAGAAAGAAACTTTCTAGTCTATCTTTCCAATAGTCAAATTTCTCTCCATCAAACATGGGAGATTTTGTGCTGACTCTTTCTTCATATTTGTTGTTGCTGGATGTTGAAGTTTCAACAACCATAAAGTATATCAACCAAGAATATCAAGAGTTTTTTCCACTGGATCTTTTCTGGTCACAGTTAAGTGATAGTACAAACAGAACCGGAGCTCTGATGCCAACTGAAGGTGAGAAAAACACTTAGAAGGGGGGGTTGAATAAGAGTTTGAAGAAATATGGCAATAAAAACAACTTAAGATTTTTATCCTGGTTCGTTGAACTCAACTACTACAGTCCACCTTATCAAAGATGATTTTCCTTTCTCCACAAGGACTTAATCCACTATTAATCAACTGATTACAATAGTAAGCACTAAGAACAACTGTCTTAGTCTTCTCAAGAACAACTGACCACACCTTTGTCTTCTTAAGGAACTACTTACAAATTAATGTAAACTAACAAGTGTTTAAATGCTTCTAATAAGCTGTATCATAATTGTGGTATATACACTTAAGATTAAGTACAAATAAAGCTATACAGTTTTACGAAAGAACAAAAGTATATGAGCTTTGAGAGATTTCACTTTGATGCTTCAAACGTGTGTATGAATATTTCTTTCTGAATAAACTAGCAACTTCTAAATGTTGTAGAAGTTCTCCTTTTATAGCTTTTTCAAGGTACTTTGAATAATGTGCAGCTGAGTATTATATTAGAAATATAAGACTTTTCATCACCAAAAAGTATGGGTAGAGACATGCTTTTTGCAGTAAAAGTATGATTGTGGAAGCTTTGGGATTTGCACCACGTCTCTTCATTGGACAAAATAGTTGTTGGTTACTTTGGAAGTAGCACCATGTCCAATCAGGTTTACAGCTTGTTCGACAAGCTTCCTTCAGGATGAAGTCGTCATAATCTGCACTTCAGAACTTGTAACAAGCTTAAAAGGAATGAAATACTTGAGATGATCAGAGCTAAATGTTTGAGATGATCAGAGCTTGATAGATGATCAGAACTTGATAGATCAGAGTCTCAATCTTGATCAGAGTCTTCATCAGAGTTTGCAGCAGTATGTGCTTTGAGTGTGAATATTAATGTGATTAGAGTCTGATTATCAGAGCCTCTGTTCATGCAATGAAATGAACTTCAGAGTTTAATTTGATCAAAGCTTTCAACTCTTCATATAATTCTTTCAGATACGCTTCAGATCATTCTGCAGCTTCTGCTTCAGATTCTTCTGGCAGAGCTTCCTCTTGCATCTGATACTTCAGAGCCTTGCATAGTTACTTGTACTTATGTATTTTACTTTTAAGAGTATTTAATTTAATGCCTGAAACAATAATACTTGAACAAATTTTAGAGTATATATTTTCTTAATACAAAATTCCATAAGAGTTATCATCAAAACATAGAGATATAAGAAACACCAATCTGTGTTCTAACAATTTTATGGTACCTCAGTGGCACTATTTCTCACGGCTTGTTATGTGCATCTGCTTCCTTGCCTCATAAAATTTTTATGGGCTTATAGTGACTTTGATTGGCCCAATGATCTTCATGATCGTAAATCTACCTCGGAGTCATGTATCTATTTTGGTCCAAATCTCGTTTCATAAAGCTTTAAGAATCAACGTCTAGTTGTGAGATCCAATACTAAAGCAGAGTATCATCCTCTTCCTTACACTACCTCATAGCTTTTGTGGGTTCAATCACTTTTCAATGACCTGGTCATGCATTTTCCTCCTCTTACACTCATTGTGATAATCATAGTGCAACTCTCCTTTCACAAAATCCTATCTTCCATGTTAGGACTAAACACATTGAATTGGACATACACTTTCTTCGTGAAAGGATCACTGCCAAGAAAATGAAGATTCAGCATGTGCCTAATATGGTTCAAGTTAAAGACATTCTCACCAAACCACTTGACACAACTGCATTTCAAGACCATCAAACCAAACTCAAAGTCGTGACGCAAATCCCTCCTTGATCTTTATTGAAAGCATTAAGCTTGTATAGTAAAACATGACATGTATTATATCATGAGAAAGTCTAGTTACCATGCATATGCAAAGAAGAAGAATGCATGATCATCTCTCTCTTAGTACTTCATATATTCATCCATACATTCATGCACTTGTCACTATATATATAAGAGAGTACAGTGTATTGTTGAAACTAACAAATTCAAGGACAATGCTAAACGAAGTTTATACATTCTATTCTATTAAGGTGATACTTGAACAATTAATTAAGAATATAAAATCAATTTTCACAAAAATAAGATATATTTATTTTATTAATGTCTTTTAGGTTAGAGTACCTTTTCTCTTTGAAAGTGGAAGCTCTTCCTTTTTTATTCGGAAAAAAATATCTGTATACTCATTGCTTACGGTACGCAATTGCTTACATCATTTTTTGGGCATTCATATGGTCAAAAATTATCTCAATAGAAAAGTATAGAATTACTGAACTTTCTCGATCTTATATCTTGGGCACTAATCCTACTCCATTTCTTTCACTAAATCCTGGCTCTATATATAGAAGTAGATCTTATGTATAAATCAAATAATCAAAAACTATTGTTTAAGCAAATAATCAAATCACTAAGATGGCATCAAATCAGGAAGAAGTGAAACTTTTTGGAATGAGAGGAAGTCCATTTGTAACCAGGGTAGATATAGCTCTAAATTTAAAGGGAATTGAATACGAATATGTGCAAGAAAAATTAGGAAACTTTAGTGAAACACTCATCAAATATAATCCAGTTTATAAGAAAGTTCCTGTATTAGTTCATAATGAAAAGCCAATATCAGAATCAATTTTGATTCTTGAGTACATAGATGAAACATGGAAGCAGAATCCAATCTTGCCTTCTGATCCTTACAAAAGAGCCTTGGCTCGTTTTTGGTCTAAGTTCATAGATGATAAGGTAACTATTAATTTTCTTGTTGTGGTTATTATTAGCATTATATATAATAATTAATTAATAAATTTTTTATGATTCTTGATCATTTTAATTTGTTATACCAGTTTTTGGGTGCTGTACGGATAGCTACTTCTTCTCATGATGAAAAGGAACGTGAGGAGAGTTTTAAGGAGATAGAAGTGGCTTTTCAATTTCTTGAGAATGAACTTAAGGAGAAATATTTTGGTGGAGAAGTGATTGGGATTGTTGATATTACTGCTGTTTTTGTAGCTTTTTGGTTTCCTATTATACAAGAAGCTGCAGGATTGGAGTTGCTTACTAGTGATAAATTTCCTAAGCTTTATAAATGGAGTGAAGATTTCAATAATCACCCAGTTGTTCAGGAACAATTACCTCAGAGGGAAACACTTTTGGCCTTCTTTAAAGCTCGTTTTGAAAGTTTGGTTGCTTCAAAATAGATTATGGGGATGCATACCAAGGGAATTTAAGGAGATTTGTGTGAAGTATTTGTTTGTCATACTTGTTTTTGTGTGAATTTTTATGTTGAATTAGATGATATGTAACCTATGGTTCTTATTGTTGTAAGGTTCTATAATCTTGTTTCCATATAGAAAAAAGTGATTTGGATTTCTTGACACTTTCTCTCATGTTTCCATTCAGCTTTAATGTCAATAGTACATTTGTCTTTTTATTGTCTCTTTTATACTTTTATTTTTTCTTTGTGCTTTAATTGACCATTAGATTAATAAAAGAAATCATTAATCCCAAAATAATATGGCATGCTGCATTACTACAAAATTGATTTAATTTAAAATATACTTTATTAAATTTGTATATATGTGCCACATGAAGATAAATTATAAGAGGAATGTTAAGTGCACTTTCTTTTTCAGCACTTTTTTAACACTCATTTTATTAAAAGTGTTAAAAAAGAGTTAATAAAAGAGTGCTTCTAACACTCCTCAAATTATAATGTTGAAAATTGATTTTTTTTATCGATGTGCTTTTTATATAGTTAATATCAAAGTTACAACACTTTAAAGAAAATGACTATATCTATAAGTTATTTAAGTTGCTTGTCTCATAGGATTTTGATTCTATTACTTATTTGGTTTATCGTTTATTGTTTATTAATTGAGTTTAATGCTTAATCAATAAGAGTTTATTTACTCATAGTGTAAGTGATTATAGCCAACGAGTTTATGAATTAATACAAGAATTATAGGTGAAATATGAATTTCAATTGTGTAGAAACATAAAAAAAAACATTGTCTTTAACCTTATAGTCGTGTATTAAACTCTTAAATTCAGAACTCTTTTTTCAAAACTGTCTTTTTTTTTTCCGTTTATATTAGGCTTCTAATGCATCAAATATCACTTCTATGCTTCCAAATCGCATAACAATTGGTCCATTACTTATCCACATATTGGCACATCATTGAGCTTCAAATCTCCCCACGATCCATTTGGATCGGGTCACCATTTATACAAAATTGAATTTTCTTATTTTTGCTTCCAATTTCTTATTTTATTTCTTCTTTTGTCAGCTTTCTCTGATGTCTCAAATATTTCCAAATACATCTTCAAACCGTGCAATTACATACTAGATAGTACTACAAAATTCTAAAAAATGCTATAAAACTCTAATATGACATGCTGTCATCATTCTTCAGCAAATTGGAGCAAATATTAAAATGAACGGTCCGGAAAATCCTACTAACAAGTAAAACTCCTTGCAGCATGTCCTTGAGAAAGTTGTTTTGACCGGAAATCAAAGCACTTTTCCTACTTGTTCACTCTAGAGTTCTTCTTGACCCGAGGGGTCACTCTATTATGCTTACAACCAATCTGATATGGACAGATTGGAACTGATTTTAGAAACTACATTCCATATGTATTGGGGTGCTTCTTTGATGTCTACATTCCAAAGATAAGGATCTTGAGAAAGATAAGGATCTTTTGAAAGGTTAATAAGACCTTATTCTTTATGAAAGGAACAAACTCCAGTAACAACTTGGAGATATTTTAAATTACATATAGAGGAACATGGTGTTCCTTTAGAACTTGTTGTGAAGGGCACCCTCTTAATGAAGTAATTGGAGGAGGAGGAGAAAATTGATAAAGAATTTGTCCGAGCTTCTTTGGTTAAAATTGATAAAGAATTAGAAGAAGTCTGAGAAACTTTGACTTTTCCTTCTTCCAAGTTTTGGAGGTTGAGGCTTCCCTCCAAAAAAAGAAGGATTGTCACTCTAAGGAGGTGAAGGCTTTTGAGGATCATCTAGAGAAGTTGAAGACAGAGCTTAAAGACTCTCTCAACAATAACATCAATCTTATGCAATTCGATTATTAGAATTATTTAAACTAAGGGGATTTGTTTTGCCCCGATGTCGATATTCCTCTCAAATTTTTAAACCCGAATAAGGAAGTAGTGGAAAGGAAATTGGTCGATAACGAGGAATCGGCTATGTTGCTATGTTTATTGGTAATTTTCATTCTCTGCCGGTATCAACACTTGTAATAATATTTTCATGGATATTTCATTATTCCACTTTTATAATTGATATACTTATTTCCCTTGTTTCTTTTTTATTTTCCTCTTACCTTTCATGAATGATTACACTCCCTCCCCCACGCTCAGATCAACTTTGTTGATTTTTTTTATCTCAGCATGACTTTATTTTGTTGCATAATCTTTCAAGATTTTATTTCATCATGATTTCCTTCTCGATTTTGTTTTATCGTATAATCTTTCATGATTTTATTTCATGTATAACCTTTCATGATTCTATTTCATCATATCAGCGACATGGATGAGCTTAGCATCCTATTTACTTTGATGTTTCTGGGAACCGTTCCTGGCCAAAGGCTTCACCGCTTACGCTTCAGAGTGGATAGCTATCTAGAGGGGGTGTGTCACTTGTGGCTTCGTTTTCCTTGTTAAGCATACATCATGCTGTCCACTTAAGAAATACAATCATTTAATTCATAAAATATGCATGACTTATATCAAAAGTAATACATTATATAGTCAATTCCAATTTTCATTCGTACAACCTAGTGAAGAATAAATAGAAACACTACTTAAGTTTGGTAGTATTTCAAGTCTTTAGGACCGAATCTCTAGGAAAGGTCTCCATAGTGTAAGCTTTATTTGCCCTGATACATTTGATCTTGTATGACTTTTCCTAATTGGTTGTGAGTTTCACGTCCCTGGAATTCTTCCCCCAAATCTTGGCCCGCACCAGGTCTTCGGGCTAGAACTCTCAAGGTTAGACTCGTTTGTGTACTTAGTTGTGGTTGCCATATCATGATTGCACTTATGTGGGAAGAAAGGCTTTTTTTCCTTACAATATTAATATCTCATCCCTAATGGATTGTGCATTATCATCCTCCTCTAACTCAGTTTTCCTATCTTAACGAGAGTGACTATTTTAATATCGTAAGTGAGTCAGAAATGTGTCTCACTTATTTTTAAATATGGTGTTTTCTGTTGCGGGGAGAATTGGATATCAAGCTATTGATCAAACTTGAATCACAAATCATTTAAAGATTCACCACCGAACTTTGATTTATCCAAGGAAAAGGGTAAAGATCGTAGAAAACCCTATGTTTGCAATGTAACAATAATGCTAAGAGATTGTGGGGTTCGAGGGTTGATTATACCTAGGAAAAGTGTTAGCATCATAAGCATCTATAGTACTCTATAGTAACATCTTGCTAGTACTTGTGTTATTATTTGCTATTGTTTTGGGTTGTTTTGTGTTTTATGGGTGAGAATAGGAACCTAAGGGCTTAGTCACTAAGTATGTTCGCCAAAACTTCGCGGTCTTGTGCCTACATATCCTTACAAGGATGGAATCAAAGTATTTATAGTTCACCTAAACAAGGAAGAATGAGCACTTGATTATGATCAAGGCTCAAAGGGGAGGTAAGTGTTAAAGCCTTAACACTTGCTTGACTTAACAAAGTCAAAGAGTTGTATAAGTTCTACCCTAAGTCTAAGTTGAAAGCTTAATGAGTCTAACAAGGTCGAAGGATATTGGTATGGCTAAGCTACCTATGACATTGAGTCAATAGAGAGACTTTCCCTAGAATTAAGGAAAAAGGGAAAACTTAAGGATGGAAGATAACAAGCTAACATCACTTGGGGAGGGGGGGGGGGTGTTGGTGTAAGCCCTAGAGGCCAATACTTTTTGGTACTTGTATCGGATTATTCGTTTAATAATAAAAGGTATTTCTTTATTATGTTTGTCTTTCAGAATAATAAAGTCCCTAGAATAGTTAGTCTGTTTAATGAAATGTTAAGTGTGACTTAATCATGAGATCCCATTAAACATAAAGACATTATTCTTAAAATATCCGTAGTCAAGCTTTATTGCAAAGTGGGATAACATTAAAAGCATTGAGACTATTATGAAGATAGACTGATGATCACATCTCATGGATCATGGATAAAGAGTTATCAAGTCTTGACATAGGTATAAATATTAGGAGTAATATTTATACCGGATTGACCCGCTATGAGAATACTACATAGTATGTTATGCAAAGTGTCATAAGTTATTCTCATGGTGATAATGGTGTATTACCACCCTTCGACCTGAAACCACTATGGACCCTAGATGTAGAGTCGGGTGCTTTATTGCTGATCAAACATTATTCGTAACTGGATGATCATAAAGACAGTTGATGGGCACTCCACGAAGCATGCTGAGGGACATGAGTGTCCTAGATGGAATTTGCCAATCCTGCATAACAGGAGAAATGTCTAAGGGCCCAATATTGAACTGGACAAGGATGACACAGAGTATGCCTTGTGTTCAATATAGACATAGGGGCAAAAGGGTAATTGTACAAACATATATTATCACGGAAAAGGTTTTGTCAGATCACATGACATTTTCGTGACTTGGGTAGCAGTGATGTGTTGCTAGATACCGCTTACTGTTTATTATGTTAAATATATATAATTTAATATAATTACCAACGTTACGAAATCCTACAGGGTCACACACATAAGGACAGTTTGATGAGAGATAGAGAAATCAAAGGAACACCGTAAGGTACGGTGCACTTAAGTGAAAAATAGAAATTCGGATAATATAATAATAATTATTGTTATTTTATAATGGTTATAAAATAATAATAAAATAAATATATTTATTATAATAATAGTTATTATAATAATATATAATATTATTATGGATCATGTGAATTAGGGTTTTAGCCCGCAGCCCACAAGAGAGTCTATAAAAGGAACCCTTGTGATGAAGCTTTCACTTGATGCAATTTCGTTTTTGATTCTCTTTTCTCGCTCAAATAATTCCGTTCGTAAGCAGCTAGCACTGTGACCGGAAGCTGTTCGTGTGGACTGAGTAGAGGCGTTGCACCTCATCAACGCTTGTGATCGCTGCATCAAAGATCTGAATCGCCACAAAGAGGTAACGATTCTATCACT